GAAAAAAAAAATTTTTGACTGGGCCCCCTACAAATTTATGTCACACAACTTCAATATAGGTGTCCCACAGGATTCTATCCTGGGCCCTCTTCTCTTCTCTTCTCTTCTCTCTCTCTCTTCTATTTCACTTGGTGAGCTTATTAATTCCCATGAATTTAATTACTATCTCTATGCTTACTATTATCAAAACTACCTATCCTACTCCAGCTTCTCTGCTGACTTCCAGTCTTGCATCTCCATCCGCCTTTTAGACATCTAGGACTGGATGTTCACTTGTTGTTGTTGTTTAGTCATTTTTCAGCCATGTCTGACTCTCTCTGACCCTGTTTGGTTTTGGGTTTTATTTTGTTTGTTTGTTTTTGTTTTTGTTTTTTGGAAAAGGTACTGGAATGGTTTGCCATTTCCATCTCCAGCTCATTTTATAGATGGTGAAACTGAGGCAAACAGGGTTAAGTGACTTGCTTAGGATCACACAAGTAGTAAGTACCTGAGGCCAGATATAAACTCAAGAAGATGACTCTTCCTGACTCCAGGCCCAGCACTTTATCCACTGTGCCACCTGCATTTCCAGCAGAGATCTTAAATTCAGCATATCTAAAACTGAACTCATTATCTGCCCCCAAAACTGTCCCCATCTCCTATCTTGCCTATTATTGTAGAAGGAGACACCAGTCTCCCAGACTCTCACAGGGTTAGCAACCTACGTGTCATCCTTAACTCCTCACTATCTCTCACCTCCCATATCTAATGTGTTGCCAGGCCCTGTTGACTTCCCCTTTGCACCATCTCTCAAATATGATCCCAACACCTCATACTTAGACTAATGCAATAGCCTGCTGGTGGATCTGCCTGCCTCAAGTCTCTCCTACTCCAAACCATTCACCATTCAGTGATTTTATTAAAGTGCAGGTCTGACCATGTCACACACTGTGTGACAGTTAAATCCAATAAAATCTAATGGCTATCGCTTCCAGGATCAAATACAAAATCCTCTATTTAGTGTTCAAGGCCCTTCATACCAAACCCCCCCTACCTTTACAGTCTTCCAACACCTTACTCCCCAACACAGACTTTTCAATCCAGTGACCCTGGCCTCCTTGTTCTATGAACAAGACTCTCCATCTCTCCGTTCCTAGCACTTTCTGCTCTGGCTGTAACCCTCTATGCCTGTAACCTTCGCTCTCCTCATCTCCGCTTTTTGGCTTCCCTGGCTTCCTTTAGATGCTAGGTAAAATCTCATCTTCTACAGGGAGCCTTTTACAACCCCTCTTGATTCTAGCTATCGTTTCCTATTTATTCCATTTATATCTTGTTTGTACTTATTTATTTGCTTGTTTTCTCAGCCACCCCTCCTCCCTTTAGATTGTGAGCTCCTTGAGGGCAGGGATTGTCTTCTGCCTCTTTTTTGTATCCCCAAGGATAGTGCAATGCCTAGTCAGGGGTGGGGAACCTGTGGCCTTGAGGCCACATGTGGCCCTCTAGGTCCTCAAGTGTAGGCCTTTATCAAAGGCCACATGTGACTGAGAGGCTGAAGGATTCCCCACCCCTGTCTAGAACACAGTTGGTGCTAACTAAATGTTTACTGACTGACAGACTGACCATGCTTTTAATCATATGATCTAGAATTTTGCCTGGAATAAAAGTTAATCTTACTTCCCTCTTTGGAAAACCAGGACATTTGCTCTTCTCCATTCTTCTAATACTTCTTGTATTCTCCAAAATCTTTCCCAGACCATTGACAATGGCTTTGTAAAAACATCTGTCAGTTCTTTCAGCACTGTGGGATCTAGTTTATCTGGGGCCTAATTTAAACTCATCAAGGGCACTTAGGTGCTTACTTATCTGAGGTCTCACCTCCCTATTAGCCTTGTTTTTTGCTTTGTTTTGTATTTTCCAGTCCAAAGATCATTCTTCTTGGAAGAGAAAATAAAAACAAAAAATTCAGAACTCAGAAACTCTGGCTTCTCTCCATTGTCAGTTATAATTTTACCCTTCTCTCCCTTCCTTGATCTTTTTCTTTTCCCTAACATATTCAAACATACTCTTTGTTAGCCTTTGTTATCTTTTCTAACCTCAGCTCATTTTGAGTTCTAGCTCTCCTAATATTTATTTATTAATACTTACAGGAGTAATACATTAGAAATGAGGACCCTCTGGTCCATAGATCTGAGTTTAATTTCATCCCACAATGTCTATTTAGTACTGTTTCTTAAACTGTTAAAATTCATTTTTGCCTGTAATTTCAAAAACACAATAATGGCCATTGAAGTAATGATGTTCTAAAAATCTATGAAAGGCTTCCTTTTTTTCCAGTGGCTTAATCACTACGTAATTATGATCAAAAGAAAAAGAAATTCAGCATCCTAGTGGTGGAAAAATAGTAAAATACATTTATCAGGCACTTACTTTGTTCTAGAAGAGGAAACAGGTCAATATGGACATGTGATGAGGGGGTGGGGGGAGGGAAGAAGGAAGGAAGGAATGAAAATTTAACCTAAGTTAACAATCCACAGAAAGCCTGGAAGACTATTTTAAAACACTTTATCTGAAACTTAGTATAAAGAATCTCAATACAGGGTATCCCGAAAGTTTTAGTGAAGTTTTATGCTATTAAAGTTTAAAGCTGCACTAAGATTTCTGGGACATGCAGTGTAGCTAATTCAAAGAGGAAATAGGTCGGGGAAAAAAAGTTATCTTCCCCAACTCAACCCCCTGCCTAAAAAAATGGGAAGATAGTTGAATCAAGGACCTCCTGAGGATTGGAGTATGCAAAAAGGTTTTGTAAACCATGTTACTGGGTTGTAAGCATGAGTTTGCTTACCCTTGTACTGACCTTTCTATTTCCATAGAATGTGCACATACGTTTCCCAACTGCAGCTTAATTTTCTAACTTGTTTTCTGAGAAGCTGAATGCAATAGATGATGTTTACCCCACTGAACAGAGGCTCAGTGAAAGTGTCTCTTGCTGGCTGGACTTCCCTTTTTGGAAGGTCATTCTCTTTCACTGAGTTTTTCTGGATTTGTGGACTTCTTTCATTTTCAGAGAAAGAATTTCAAATTTGGTAGATTCTTTTCATTTTCACTTTGTCAAACGGTTCTAATAAATCAGTACAGTTTTCTTTTATGTTTTCTTGAAATATGGTATCCAAATTTTTTGTTTGGTGGTGGTTTTCAGGTAGCTTGATGATTTTTAAATTCTTTCTCTTTGACCTGTTTTCCAAGTTAGTTGTTTCTGGTAGTAGATACCACAACATTATCTTCTACCTTTTTTTAATCTCTTGTTTTATTCTAACATTTCCTATTGTGTCCAGGAGTCATTGAGTTCTGCTTCTTCCATTCTAATTTTCAGAAAGTTCACAATGATTTATAATATTTCTTAATTTTATTTGGTGTCTTCTGTCTACTTTTATCATCAGCCTCGGTTCCTGGTTTGGAACTTTGTTCCAAGGACAGACTCTGACCCCTCTCTCACTGTTGGATGGGGTTTCCAGGTGCTATTTGGTCCTGATCTTAATTTCCTGGGTTCTTTCCGCTGATTTTCACTTCCCCTGGTGTGTCTGTGCTCATGGCCTTGGCAGGTTTCAGGTCCTCTAAATTATCCCAGATCAGAGAATTCAGATGTTCAGGCCCTGAGTAGCTTCTCCAGAGTGCTTCCAGGTTTTATAGGTATCATTGTCTTTTTCTTGATCTTCTTGCCTTTTACAAAGCTAAAAATATGCCCCATATGGACCTTAATATTTATTGTGAGCCTTAAATCCTTCCAGGGTTTAGTCCTGGCTTTCCTAGGACACAGGCCAATCTATTCGATATTCACCTCTATTTATCAGAAGTCTGAGACTTCATATCTTGTCAGTATTTCTACTTTGATGATCAATTGCTCCTCATTGGTCAGATTTTTTTTTAAAGCATTTCCTCATTCATAGGAATATAGAGCTAGAGTGGTAAGGGACCTCTGTGACCATCTAGAGTCCAACCCCCTTATTTTACAGATGAGGACAATGAGGTCAGGGGAGGTTAGGTGACTCTCCCAAAGGTGAACAGATAGGATCTCGTCACTTCTCTCCAGATCATTGAAGTGCCATATCACTAACTTGAGGGTGGTGTCAGTGAGAGTGGAAAAGGGGAAAGATGCTAGAGCGTGAAAAGATAGAATAGCTAAAACTTGGTGACTAATTAGATGTAGGTTATTACTCTAGGAATTTTAACAACTTAAATCACTCTACCTCCTCCACTCTTTGTTCTAAATTACCCTCTTTGGCTTTCTTTTGCATTTCCCTAAGTATCTTTTGGTCTATCTTTTCTTCTTTATATATATATATCTCTTTCCTTATGTGCATAACATGGTGTTAACATTTATGTTTTTCTTATTTGGTACATTTACTTAATGATATCTTCTATTTTCTTTTCCTATTCATGTTTTGCACGTTAAATGAAACTTAAATGGATGGAGGGAAAAGTGTCAAACTAAGATGTTTTCTATTTGCGATTGGACTTTCACTTTTAAATGTAGCTACATGACAAAAACAGGAGAAAAAAAAGATCCTCCATTTCTGATTTAAGAATATAATTTCTATTTAACTGCATTAGCCATCAAAAACAGCCCAGGTAGGCTACAAAAAGAAATGGGCCACTGTCTTGTCTTGTGGCTTCTCAATTTAGGTAAGACCAGAGGCTAGATTCTGAGTTCCTAAAAGAATTATTGCAACAAGTTGCAAGTGTTTCAAAAGTCAAGTTTTTGTAGGGTTTGCTTGTGTTGATTTTTTTTTTTTTAAGTTCTAAATAGCCATCCAAACATCAGTGTTCTTCTCTGGATTTAACTGGATGCACTGACATTATTTTTTCCTCCTGTTATTCTTCTTCCTGCGGTTCCCTATCCCTACCTAACTTTTTCACCTCCGTTTCCCAACTGCCATCCGTAAAGATTATCTTTCTTTGACTTTGCGTTTGCCTTTGCTCGCGAACGGAGGAAGTCGGTCCCTCGCGGCGAGCCGTCCGAGCCGGCCGGCTGTGGGCTTGCAGCAACATGGCGGCGGTCTTAATGTCAGCGGCTCTGAGGCAGGCTATGGGGGCGCGAAGGGCAGCGGCCGCGGCCTCCCGGCTTCCCACCAGGTAAACCGCGTCCCCTCGCCGACTCGCCCCCTCCCGTGGGGCCAACTCCCTCCCCTGGCCTTTCCTTGACACTTGGGTCGCGCGGTCCACTGAGGTCAGAGGGAGGCCGGGCCCGGGCCTCGGAGCTCTTCCGGCCACTGACCCCGCTCCCCCCGCGGGCGGCCCGCCCCGAGCTGCGCCCCGGCGTCCTCGGCCCGCGAGGCGGACAGGGAGCGAGAGGAAGGGCGGCCCGAGCAGCCGCCCCCGGAGCCCCGGCGGCAGAGAGCCCGGCGCCGTGGAGCTCGGGGGGCGGCCCCGGAGTAGCGGCTGCCCTCTCCCGACACCCTCCTCCTCCCGTGTAGGAGGGGGTCTTTGCACCCCGAGCTTTTGCTCCGGCTCCCCGGCTGGGAGCCGGCGCTGGCAGCTCTTGCCGGGCATGGTGGACGTGAAGGCTGGGAGCCCCGGGGGCCGACATTCGGGGGAGCCGGGGCTGGTCAGGGGCGCCGAACGCCGACCTCGGGCCGTTACTGGGCTTGCTCCCCACCCCGCACCCCAACGCCGATATGTTGTTCGCGTTTTCCTTCACATTTACTCTGGGATGAAGGTGAAATACAGTGAACCCCGGGAACGTTCCGACCTCATACGGGGCGTCCCAAAGATCTTGGTGCGCTTGGAAGCGCTAGCGTTTACGTAGCGCTGCCTGGTGCCGGGTACTGAAGCTGAGCTCTTTATATATATTGTCTCATTGGAGATTCACAGCAACCCTGGGAGTCGGGTGCTGTTGTTACCATCTTACAGATGAGGAAATTGAGGCAAGCAGGGGTTGAGTTACATAAGTCACTTGGCTCAGGGTCACACAAGATGTCACACAAGTGCTTGAGATGGGATTTGAACTGAGGTCTTCCTGACTCCTGGTCCTAGTTACCTCAATGCTGAGACTAAAATCAGGGGTCCTTAACCTTTTAGTGTGTTATAGACCCCATTGGCAGTCTGGTGAAGCCTATGGATTCTTCAGAATGTTTTTAAATGCGTAAAACAAAGTATGTAGAATTAGAAAAGAAAAATAAATATATGGAAATAGCTATCAAATCATCAATTATTTTAAAATGCAATTCATAGATACACATATACATATGCACATACACATATACACACAAATATACAATGGGGAAAATGATGCACACACACACATGCATATACATACCCATTGACCTGGGGTCCATGCAGCTGTTTAAAAATTAAATCATGCTCATACTCAATAAGTAGTAGGATGGCCCTTGTTTCAAACTGTTTTAAAATTCAATAGGTGAAAATAATGAAATTTAATATAATTCACACCTTTTAACTGGCTCATTTATATTATATAACAACTCTGTTAAAAAGCTTAAAATCTACAAATATTGAAATAATTTAAAAATAATAAAAGAGTAAAACAGATATAAGAAGAATGAAGACAATAGGGAAGGTAATGGGGATATAGAGAGAATGATCCTACATTTTCCAACCAATTAAGGGTGTACATTCCAGGGGAGTAACTGAATGGGACTAGAGGAAAAGAAATAACCATTACTTATGCTCATGTATGTACTCATACAGTTAGGGAGTTCGAATACTATATTTATATGCACATTTTTTTTTTATAAATGCACATTTATATTTTTACTTGGTAGTTCATGCTGGTCTTATTTACCTTTAATGACTGAATACCCTCAAATTCAACATTTGCTCTCCCTTGCATCGTGTGTGTTCAATTATGTGCTTGCAGACCAGATTGTAGAGGGTTAGGTTATCTGGATCTGCTCTCTCTGCTTGTCCTATAGCACCCTGCCCCCTTTCAACATCTAGTCAGTTAAAGGTAGAAGGATGGGAGAATATGCAGGAACCCCCGGTCAATGAGAATTCCAGGGACTGGTAGAGTGCCATTTTATATTGTGGGAAACTAGGCTAGCCTAAATTTGAGAAATATTTAGGACTGTTCAAAACTGTCATGGCTACTGCCTCAGACTTTGAGTAGGCAGTATTAACAGATACCTGTGCACACCGATTTTTATTTTGTTGTCTAACTCATCCAAAGCTGTGTTCTTAAAGCTTCTAAGGTATTAAAAGTAACTTCTAATAGTACCTTTAAAAATTGTTGTGCTTATTAGAGGAAGGGTAAGGTAAGACCTGCACTGAAAGGCAGGTCTTTATCAAAGTGGGTTGGGATTTTAGTGGGTTTTGAATAACCTTTAGTTCCCCCCCCCACCAATATCCAATTAGAGAGAGCTTTGTTCCTCTCTAAATGGAAAGTATTAAATGTAATAACCAGTATATACATAGGTGAAATGCTTGTTTTTAAAAAAAAAGTCTAGGATTACTATAATTTGTGACAAAACTAAGGGAGTAGTTTCCTTTGTTACTTAGTAGCCTTCTCTGTGAAAGACAATGATGGAAAAATAGGATACTGACAAATGTAAATGTTTGGGTCTGAATATAGGCCATCCTTTTCCTCAAAGGCCAATAATTCTGTGATAAAATGTTTTTATTTGAATTAAAAGCAAATATACTTTTATGTAGTAATTCTGTGCAGATATTTTTAGTGTGTACTTGGGTTTTATTTTTCCCCTTTTAAATACATCTCACTTAATTGTATATTCAACCTTAGGCATTGAATACTTTTTTCTAGCAATTTGTAACAGGATCAAGAGTTTAAGCTGCTATGTTCAGTTACTTAATTGCCAAAACATAATTCCTAGTCAATCCATCAATCAACATTTATTAAGTGTCTATTTTGTGTCAGGCCCTGTGCTAACTAAGCAGGGGGTGGGGGGATAGGGGAGTTGAGGGCTGCTAGGGGAAGGGGGGGTGACACACAAAAGAGACAAAAGACTGTCTTGGCCTTCAAGGAGTTCACAATCTAATGTCTTGAAAATAATGTTCTTATACTTATTCAGCCTGTGCTCCCAACAAATTGTCTTATTATACCTTCTGGACTCACATACTTTATTATCTAAAGTTACATGCTTTCGTCATTGTTAGTATTTTCTCAGTTGTTGGAGGTGGTAGCCTCTCCATGCCCAAGTATATAGTTTCATGAGTTACTGAGGCCAAAAACTTGAATCACCTAGAGGCCAGTCTCGTGGTGACAAGCCCTTTTGAATTATAGAAGTTAGTCTTTGAATGGTAGATACAAGGTTCTTTGGGGGCTTGTACTGAGCCTTCTAGAACTTGAAGTTAATATCATTTCAAGATGGAGTATCAGAGTAGGACTATAGGGAAGATCCATCTAAAATGGTTGGTTAGAAGAGGGAAATTGTGGGGGTCTCTTCAATTAGCTCACTGAGATTAAGTCTTTTCCCAACAAAGGATTTTAGGTGAGGTCAACAAGTGGAAAATGAAACACAGAAGGAAATTACTTCTTTGTAATCATTTTTCAGAGAGATTTGTTTAGTGAAACAGGACTACTTTAAACAGTTGTGCTTTAGAATCTCATTTCTATTCATGGAAAGCTTATTGGTAAAAGCTAAGATTTCTGTTTAATTTTTTGAGTGTGGGTCAGGTAGGGCTTGATGTAATAAATTGCTTGAAGGAAAATGTTGTGATCTTTAGTTTTATAGTGAGGTTTATCATTTGTGAAAAGGGGCTTAAGTCAGGAAGACTGATCTTCCTCAGTTACTTACTCAGCCTCATACTTACTAGCTGTGTGACCCTACTCAATTCATGTAACCCTGTTTGCCTCAGTTTCCTCAGCTGTAAAATGACCTGGAGAAGGAAATGGCAAGTTGTTCCAGTATCTTTGCCAAGAAAACACAAAATGGGGTCATAAAGAGTCAGAAATGAAAAACAACTGAATAACAACATGTGCCAGGCACCATGCTAAGCACTCGGGATACAAAGAGAGGCAAAAGACATGTTAAAAAGGTATCCTTTTACCTGAAGAAGTTGGGAACCATTGGCCTAGTTTACCTCTTTGAGAACAAAATCTTTTTTTTTTTTAATTTTAGTCATTTTATGGGAATCTTTCTGAGTTGAATGATATACTTCCCTAACGTCTTAAGGAGTATTCCAGATATAGTATTTTTGATGATTCCAGGTAATCACTGTGGACATTAATTATTGTTCTATATTATAAGAAACAATGGGGCAGCTGGGTGGTGAGGTGGGTGGTGAAGATAGAGCACCTGGTCTGGGCTCAGAAGGAATTTGAATTCAGATTTGACCTCAGACACTTAGCTATGTGACCCTAGACAAGTCACTTAACTCCTTTCTATTTGTCTCAGTTCTTCATCTGTAATATGGAGACCCACTGGGGAAGGAATGGAAAAGTACTCCAATATCTTTACCAAGAAAACCCCATGGACAGTGTCCGTGGGGTCATGTCGAGTCAGACACAATTGAACAACAAGATAAGAAACAACAAATAATAAGACTTCCAAGTACCCTGAGACCATAGATTTAGAGCCGAAGGGCTCTTGAAGGTTATCTACTCTAGCCCTTTTATTTTACAGATGAGGAAGCTAAGGCTCACAAAGGTTAAGTGAACGACCTGAAGTCACACTGCTAGTGAGTGACAGCACCGGAACTTCATTCCATGGATTGTGACTCCAAAGGCTATGTTTTCCTCATTACACCACAACAGATGACTTGTATGAATTAATGCAAAGTGAAGTAAGGAGAACTATCCAGGACACCACTCTGTATGACAGCAGCAGTGTAAACAAAAGTAGCACCAAATTCGGCTAGATTCAAAGGAAACAGCAACTAGCCTTGGTGCTAGAGAACAGCTGATGGAACATACTTCCCTATTTTCAATAGAGAGGTTGAGAATTAATGACTGTGAAATGTTATATATACTGTCAGCTGCTGCCTTTTTGTCAGGTTTTGCTTCATTTTTATTTTCATTAAAATGTGGGATCCAGTAGGGGAGCAAGTCAGGAAATCACTGTAGTATAAACACAAAATACATCAATACTCAAATGTATCTATGATTTCATATATTTAGATTTTCCTCCAGTGGTATAGATTGTAGCCCAATCATGCCT